CATCTAGTTTAGCCCCAATCCACGCCGCATGAGCGGAGTTGGGGCCACATGGCGGTATCGGTTGTTGCCGGAAAACCGCAGGAAGACCGCAAATTAAGTAACCGGAAGCGCGCAATGACCTGTTACGCCAAGTGCGCAATGACCCGTGACCGTTTGTGGGAGGACAGCCTATAAATGAAATATTATCTCACAAGACAAGTCAAATACTTATTCCTCCACTGCTGGATGCACGAACCAGCTCCTTGAGAGGATACTCTGGCACTAGGTATGTCACTGGCAGCATTCATCAACCGCTGAATACAGGATTGGTGATGGTGTAGCACCCATGTTAGTGTCTTCTGACCTGATGGTGGTAAAGAAAAGTTGGTGGCTTTATGGACTGTTGATTAACCGCCTGGCTTCCAAGGAGATATCATCCTGTGACAAGAAGGAACCCAGAATTAGCAGTCACCTCATAATTCATATGCTTAGCTCATGTTATCACTATCCACACTTAATAATCACTCAGAGGACAGCTCTCGGGATAATGAGACTCTATTAGCCTCAATGCAACAGTGTCAGTCAGTCAGTAGAAGAGGTATGAGACAAGTTCCACAATGGAGACAGACAAAAGTCTCTCAGATAGAGAACACCATCATTCTACATCCATATCTGCAACTGTAGTTACACAGACTACTACTCACACAAATATGTATATTATATCCCCACAAGTTGACTCTAGCCTTCCAGATACCTAGTGTGTGTACCTGAGTTAACCTATAAATATCCCATGACGTCATTTTGCTTGTTCCCAGCTGCTCAGTGAAACTGTGCTGGCCTAGTTCTTCTGCCGGTTACTAGATCGGCATCCATTTTCACAACTAGTTAGTTATGGAGCGAATGGACTGCTAGATTAAATCATTGATACTAGTGTTGGGATTGTTAGTGCACCTACTCTCAGCTTGAAAATGTGAAGGTTTGATTTAGGTGGCCGTGATCATTTTGACACCAAGAAAAGTCTCGCTCTGTAAGGTCTCATAGCCGAGTCATCCCTCTCCTCAACAGCGGGGTAAATATATAGATATATATATACATGGTACTCGTAAACTCTAATAGACTTACCCAAGCTTCAGGAAATATCCTGGACGTAAAAGCCGCTCTCTCAGAGTACAAAACTGAGAGTCAAAGTTTTGAACGTCAGTTCTTCTTGAGGGTCGGGCAGAGAATGAGAGGGAAAATGGTAGCATCACTTTTACAGAAGTGAATCGTCCCATCAAATTAAGAGTAATAATACAAAAAATCTCTAACTTTCAACTGTAAATTTGAAAATGTAGACATTACAAGAGATTCAGAACATATAGAAATATGTATTCTGTCATACAAAGGTGTCAATAGACAACATGGACTATATACCCACCGGACGGGTCGATATTTGAATGTGACCTCACCACTAGGGGTGACAGAGTCACGAATAGTTCAATGTGTAGGGGTGGCTATGGCCATTCCATGACACCTGTTACCAATGGTCTTGCAGTCTGCTGCCCTCATTGTAGAACAGGGACTGATCATCTGCAAATAGTAGCTTGTTTATCGTAGAACACTGGGGCAGTAAAATAAATAAAAACATCCTTTTCATGGAAGTGCCGCATTGGGCTCATACTTTCAGTAGACCAATCACACTTGCTGGGCGACATGGTCAACAGCATGCCACGTATCTTTACTTCTCAGTATATTTCCTGTTCTCAAGTTAATGTCTTATAGAAATTTTATAAGATCAGTGAATTGCTGTGATTACCCCTTGTGTCTTGCTGCTTCACAAGACATTGTTTTTTCTTCTTTTTCTGCTACCTTCTATCCTCAAATGGGTCATAGGCTTTAACCAACCCATTCTATCTTTCATTATTACATGCAGCTCTCCCCATCTTTTTTAACTTCACTCTCTAGCTTCCTTCTCCAAGTATTCTTTTGGGGTCTTTCTTTATCTCAATGCCCCTGTGGGTTCCAGTGCAAAGACTTTATAGTTATCTTATTCAGTCTACGTCCTATCCAATGCCAGCATCTTTTCTTCACCTCTACTGTCTGTTCTACTTGTGTGAAAATGGGGAAACGTGAATGGATACGTCTGATTTAGAGTAAGCATTGTTTACCAAAAGATCACAAAGGAGTTTGCACTTTACATCGCGGTTGTTCTCCCCCCCCCTCCCCCCTCCTTTTAACTATTAGATTTTATTTTATAATATAAGTGAAAAAACAATGTTAGCATAACAGATTATTACACTCAACAGCCCAGTCCCTAAAGGCCACATGTATAATGGCTGGGCTTCAAGAGAATCTAGGAGCAGAACATGAGCATTTCCTGAAATCTAAGTAAAAGTAAAGGACCCTTTTCTCACGTCTTTAGGCGTATAGGGCATAAAGGGCCAGACCTATATTTTATAGACCAATTGGCACAAGATGGGTGATGTGGTCAGCATCACGGCGGCCCCTTTACTTCCTGGGACTGCACCCGGTGCCCACTCAAGGCTGGGTCGACCTGCGAGTCAAGGTCATTTCTGAAAAAGTCAGGTTCCGCCAGGGAGTAAGCCCACTGAAATCTAAGTTTGACATAAATTCACAGCATACACTCTGGTAATATGTTAATCTAAAGAACCATGTCGTTTTTCTGCAGGCCCGTTCAACCAACTTCCATAATCTAAACTGAGATTTAGATTCAAAGACTGGGGACAGCAAAAGTAAATATGTTATATCTGGCATGTAAATTCTGTTGGCTTAAAATAAATAAATTTTACAGCCAAAATTAAAGAACAAAGGTAGAAATCCTATAAAGGTGAACAGATATGTTGGATTGAATGGCATGGTTCATAAAATTACTGAATCAACATATTTAATCATATGACGGATCAAATTATTAACTTTCGCATATGGTATAAGAGAAATTATCAACTTTCTTATAGGGCATGCAACAAATATTAACTTTCTTATATGGCATAAAACAAACTGAAAAATCAAAACAATTTCTAACAAAGATAAATGTTTAAAAAATGCACTTTTTTTTGTTAATATACAATTTTATTTGACATTTTCAATAGAGTATAATAATTATGTAGTCTGCTTACATTAAAAGCAATGAAAACAGAAAATTTATAAATAAGAAGCAAAAAAAAAAAAAACTTAGAGTAAACAAACATAGCGGAGATACAAGTGTGACTGGTGCTTTCAGGAAACTTACTTTCTACATAACGTGACAAGGGAAAAAAGTACAAGAAAACTAAAAGACCTTTTTCATGCCAGTAATGCATCCAGTATATGATGCTAGACTAAGATTTATCTAAACTAGTGGTATTCAGACGAGGCCTAGCAACTGGGCCGCAGATCAATAGCAGTTGGATTATATTATTAATCTTTCTGTGCTGTGGCTGGGGTCTTTGGTTCGTCACAATCCCTATTTTCAAAATAATGGCTCCTGGGTAAACTTAGCTGAATAGCCCTGATCTAAACCAATCAGCAGTGGGTGGGTGGGTGATGTGGTTAATGTCATGCAGGAAAAGGCAATGATGCGGTACAATTAGGTAAGGACACAATGAGTATGTAATATGAATGAGTGATGTTCAACCCCCACCAGGACCGCACATTGAGCGATTAATAGATACATAATCCGACAACAAGAGAAGGGCTTTATGACAGCACATAGCTCGGATGGTGTTTGGAAGACCCTGTACAACCATCTACAATCCACACATGGCACTTGGTAATGATCATATAATGTTAAAGTACAAAAAAAAAATATATATATATATATACCGGGTACAGGGAGAAATTAAATATTTTAGCAGCTTCTATAGAATGAAGTTTGTGATGTAAATTGCATTGTAAAGTGACTGAATATAACTGTTTCACATAGCTGAACAGAATGTCTGGAATTTGCTTTTGTTGATTCAAATGACAACTGGCTGTTTTAAGCCGCTCTGGGTGCCAATATTTCTGGTTGTAATCCTGGAGATTACCCTCCCCCTTCAAAAAACCCCACACAGCTGCCTATATGGGCCACAAGTTTTTGACCCTTTCAACCCAGCGTTTGTTTTTAAAATACAAAAGCCATGAACCAACACGAGTTTCCTGGAAAAAATCCTTTAAAATAAATATATATTATACAGGCCATTATTAAACTTTTTGCAAACGCTTATTTAGCTACATAAAAAAAAAAATGTAATATATATTTAAATATATAAAAGAGTAATCATTAAACATGAATAGAGTGAAATGTTAAATGGAACACATTTTCAGGAACCTTAAAACAAACAATTTTACTGTGTGACTCATGTTGCAACCCTTATCAGTAAGGCTTTTGGAAAAATTTGACAACTTGGCTTAAAAGAAATAGTGGGGTCATAAGGACCCCCCCCCCCCTCCCCCCACTATTACTTTGAGTTATATTCATATCATGGCCTATCAGAATCTGTGCAGACGCATATGTAGGCAATGAAACTATACAACACATTTCTAGAACAGATTACTGCAGACTTGGCCTATATGGGCAATTATATAACTGCGTCACAACCAGAAGTTTACCAGATTTAGACTTTTTGTGGCGAAAGATTAAGATCTTACGGTAGCTCTACACACAGTGATGGGTGGCAATTTAAAGCGCAAAATTTAAAAAATTTGACAAGCTAACAGTGTAATGATGGGCTTTAGTTGCTGCAATAAAACAAATCCATTCTAGAATTATCAATACAATTATAATAGTATTTGAATACAATACAATACCAAAAGTAAAAGCTGCTACTTAGCCAGAAGATAAAAGGGTGCAGCAACAGCCGTAACACTGTACAATGTCAGTTACAATCTTCACATGTAAAATGTGATTATTAACAACAATAACAGGTGAAGAATCATCTATGAACATACTGTGGTCATCAGTTGTGCTGTATCTTTTACTGAAAGGCCTAAGGAAATGACTTGTGAGCTGTGATGTCAGTTCTCAACTCAACTTTTCAAACTTTAGTCGGGTGAAATTGAATTCACTGTATCAGTTGATTCTCTGTGTCTGCGTCTGAAATAAATAAACGTTTGCTCGCGGTTACCACCTCCTCTGTGGCATGGGCATTGACTCGTTTAAGTGGCGACCTTGATTTGCCTGGAGAGTTGAAACACTGTCGGCAGACGGCTATATACTTGTCTGTCCCACCAATCACTTCAATCTGGAATACACAAACAAGTTCGTCAAAAATGTATTTGTTTACAATATGTGAAAACATTTATATTCTGTTTTGGGGCTCGATTAGTGTGGGGGGGGGGGGGGGGGGGGGGGGGGGGGAGAGAATAGATCCACTGCCACCTAGCAAACATGTCATGAAAAGCAAATAATTAAGAGTTTGCTGAAATCAGATGTTTCTGGCCAAAAGACTCAGATATACCAGCCGAGCTCTAAATCATTACACAACAGGCCTAACCAGACTTTTAAGGATGAATGCAGAAGAAGAAGAAAATATTTATATGAAAGAAATTTTGAAATGGGTTGTAGACAAAGCTTTCATAAAATCTATTTATAATCAGTATGGCATGAATGATACTGACAGGTTGTCTGGTAATCTAGTTAGTTTCAGCTTCATAGCAAACAGATCACGTCATAGTTGATCTGCTTCTTAAACACCCCCCCCACCCCCAAAAAAAAACCAGAATGTCCCTCGTGGAAAAAGTGAAACAGGCTGCAGTCTCAGCATATCCACTAGCATACGTACGCATTAAAAGCATAAAGCAGCCCCAGAAGTGCTAACACAAACAGTCCGACAATAGAAATGCAGTTCACCATCGACAGAAGCTGCAATTACAAACAGATCAGCAGTTGCACAAGCAATTAATTTTAGTCATATAAGGCATCACTATTTCTGTGGCAACATGCCATTTCGCCATTTTCCAAATCTGCAGATCACAACACCCCATTGGTCACAGTTTAAAAAAAAACACAATTCCAAATGAAATCCGCAGCTCACAGTGTGGTACCATGCACTCAACTCAGTACCTGGGTGACAAAGCCCTTTCAGCCTACAAATAAGGGAAAATGCAATGGGCACCATTTGTAAGTAGCACAAATTTGTCATGACTAAAAACAGTGAACGTGCTGCCTTCCATTTTGACCAGATGTGTCCAGACAGGTACTGAGGTTGATTTATGAGAACAGGATTCTGTGGATCTCACTAAATGGAGCGAGACCATCAAGACAGAAAAAAAAAAAAACTTGTTAAGAAACATGTAAAATATGTGTGATGGCAACAATGGTTCTGAAACCTACTGCACTTATTGTAAAAAAAAAAACTGTTTCTAATATAAGAAAATTGTATAGAAAGTGAAGGGTGATTACACTACTCATTGACGGCTAGCAAGACATAACCAATATGGCTGAAGGGAGGGAATCAGGCCTTTTACTTTTGTAATAAATGTTAAGGTTTTTATTTGCATTATTAAATAGGACAAATGACCAGGGAAAGATGTAGTTATTTAAGGCCACGCTCATCATTATTATGTAGAAGGTCCTTAGCAGCATGTTGCTTTCTTCACAGCCCACTGAAAATACTAGGTCCCTTACAGTTCCACCTGCCTCCTTTACTGTCATATATTACAATGCTCACATAATGCTTTGATGCCTTTGGGTTAGGTATTTTCTACTGCTTCAATGGACGTGATACATAAAGTGTAGTTTTATATCCGCTGGCTGTTTTAGAATTAGATTCCTGACACTGTTGTTTTATTCAAATTTTATATATTTAGGCAAATATTCACCTGGAGTAAAAGTAAACTTAAAACATGTTTTGGCATAGATGACATTCTTTAACTCTTTCTGCACTGGCAACTCTTAGTGACTGCTTAATACCATATACTTTATCCCTCTTCTTATGAATTATTTTCTTATTGCGCTCATGCTTTATATAACAGTGGCTACTTCCCTTTTCCACATGCGTATAATTTTAGTTCATTGAGATTCAGACTTTTGTTCTAAAGCCCATAAAGACTGAGTTACAAAGTGTGAAATAACAATTATCTGGTAGCAAAAAAATGTAAAGTATTTCAGGAAGGTCTCCCGGTGATTGTGCAGTTCAGTAAATGCATATCAGGCTAACTTACAAGTTTCTTATAGGGTCCTTTCGAGAGGAATTTTTAGTAGGAGCAACATTCAGGACCTACAGACAATTGCTAGTCTGCAGCTCCATTATAACAATTCACCTGCTCATTCTTAGCAATGGTTCAGATTTTCTTAGCCAAACATTGGTATGAAAATGGCTGCCTAATCACATAAACAACTTTATATAAAAAAAAAAAAAAAAAAAAAAAACACTAATTATTAACAAATCTAGAAATAGCTTGATATGAGTTGGTTGAGTCTAAGCTCCATTTAGAGATGGAAGGCAGAAGAAAATTAGTGCAGTCTATTTATTTTCTTTACCAAATATTCGTGGTCTTTCATGTCAAGGGACAGAAACCAAAAACATACATAGACCTGATGTCTGATATGTAAATTGAGCTCAAAAGCTGGGAAAAGCTACCCCACAAAAATTCTTTACTAAGCTACAGGCCTGACAAAACAGCATTATGTACTTGATTCACAATGATATTCATTTGCTGATCATCTCAAAAAACAATGAACATCACAAACATATCATGAGTATCTAATATTCCTACATCTATTTACACTCTAAGATAACCTGAAGCACCAACTTAAACCATCAGAGAATTTCTCATTTACAAACCTGAGTTTCAGATCCCTTCCGCTTTGTGAAAGATGCCTCCTTATAACATTTCAAGCAGACGGCAGTCAGCTTCATCACATGCTCGGCTAATGGAACCAGGTTGAGAATATCACCAAAGCCCTATAAATGAACACAAACATGACATTAAAATATCCTTAAATCTGCAAATGAAGAATTTACATCAATATACTTAGGACATTTCCACAAGGAATGTGTCCCCTCTCTCGGTAGCCAAGGAAGAGTGATGATGCAACATGCAACCAGATCAAAGGTCTACCTGTGTGCAAGGTTTAAACAATCAGCTTAGTCTTTAAAAAACCTGTAGCTCACACACGGAAAGCTCAACACTCAGTGTATTCTTACCATCATACTATTTCCTCCCAGAATGGGTTCCAGGGCCCTGCTGTGAAGAAAACAAGAATGACCCACTGCCTTCCCAAAAAAGCAAGTCGTAAGAGTCGACTAACTGGAAACAATCCTTTGAAGTCAAATGTGCATCTGCCTCAGAGGCAAGGAACCATAAGTCTACATACAAATAAGTTAGTTCTGTAAAATGGATGTACATAAAACAGGTTCTGGAACAAGACTTAAGTCCAGAAATGAACAAATAACCCGAGCTTTTCGCCGGATTTTACAGACAGTGAATGCGAAGAAGAAATTATTTCCAAAGGCAGTACTTATTTTCTCTTTAGATTTGAGGTGGAATCATGGTAACATGATGTCATGGACCAAGTTGCAAAGAGGAGGAAACTCTAGAAGGGAATACAGATAAAGGAGAAAATGACTGAGCTGAATGTCTAAGAATAAGTAGGTTAAATAAATGCTACATAGATAAATGTGATCCGTCAATCCGAAGCAGATGATCAAAAACTGCATTTCAAAGCCAATTTATTTTCTTTAGGAAAATTACAAATATCACTATCATTATTAACATAAGTATTTCCTCACAACTGAAAATTATTTTAAATTTACTTTACTAATTTCAACACACCACAAAAATTACAATTAATAGCACATACTTTTTAAATGACACAAGAAATATCCTAATAAAACTGAATATCAAGAATATTATTATTTCCCAAAAATTTTTGGGGTTGCTCATTCACGTCTTCTGACTAATGTTTTTCACGTGTTACATTTTTTTCTTCACATTGATATGATGGATTCATTTAATTTATTACGTCACTCAGGCCAATAACTGCCATTAAAGTCATCAGACCAGGTCCCTCCATTGCATCCTATTCTTAACAGCTCACATTAGTTCAGCATAAATGTGTGCCCTAGTGTTCTTGCAGGCTTGCAAGGTGTGTTCAGTTTTACATTCTTTTTCCCTGGGTATCCAGTATTTAAAACTGCTTTTGTGTGCATTTAAATGCCCGTCTTTACACTTTTTTTATCAAGTATTTTATTTAACAAGGCCGCCCCCCCCAGAAGCCACAAAACTGACACTTTCGGTTGGGAACAATTCCCTGTAAATTGGAACTGGACTTGTCTTTAGTGGCCTGATTACAATGCGTATAGTTAATGCTTCTTGCTTGAGTTCTGCCTGCTCAAATGTTTATGAGAGTGGGATGAGAATACATTAACAAAAATGGCATTTATGGGCGTATTCCTCTAAACCTCATGGTTTTTTTTTAAATCAGTGTACATGAATAAATCAGAATTATATGTATATATATATATATAAATATATATTTTTTTTAGCGCATATATATATATATATACATACATATATATTAGTGTAAATGTGTGTGTACTGAAGAGTTTTGGGAAATGCCATTCTGGTCTCAAGACTCAGTGAAGGGAAAACCCCAACTGCACCTCCACGCGGTAGAGGACGGTAAACACACTGCGGTGTGGCCAACGCAGCTATAAGGACCGAGTATCCGCCGGGATAAGTGGACACCTCCGTGGTGCCCTCTGCTGTTAGCAGGAGCATCACAGAGCAGGGCACTCACTTGCCCTTGCAATCGAAAAGGTTTCTGAAGGCTGAGGGCATAGTCTAAAGCCATGTGGATGCGGCAAGCAACGGGAAACTACCACATTACTATCCCAAGACCCAAGAAACTCAAGATTAAACAGCCTATGGTTAAGCACCAGCAAGGAGATCAAAATTAGAATTTTGAGAGCATGCATCATCCCTGTAGATGTGAGTCGTAGACAATCTCCCAGTCCTTAAGAAAGAGAATAGGGGCTTTTGAGCTGAAATGCTATAGAACGATTCTCTTTCAAAAGAGGAGAAGTACCGACATCTTGAAAGATCCGAACATCAAGGAAGATTGGCTAATAAACAGCGTGTCTCGGAAGCTGAAATATTTTGGTCATATCAAGCGCCACAATGGATTGGAAAAAAATATATAGCAAAAGTCACGGTGCCAGGAAGGAGAAGCAGGGGCCGACCAACACGAAGATGAGGACAGGATATAAGTGACTACTTGAGTATGAAAGTGCATGAGACGTGACAGCTGGCAAGAGACCAAGTTTCTCTCAGGCAAACCGTGATGACAGCGACGTTCTGCAATGGACCTGCTACATAATGAAGATGATGTGTGTGTGTATATATATATATATATATACACACACACACAAATATTTATATTTTAGTGACCAATGTAAAACTGTTGCAGGATTTGTTTCCCATGGGAGCCAATGCAATTTTTTTTAAAGTCTTAATACAGTGAATATAATAACTGTAATTACCTTATTTAATAAACAGGATAATCAAATTTGTGTGGTTTTTTTTTTAAAAGGACATTTACTGTGAGCTACCATTTACATACAGGCTATTTCTATATCAGTGAATAACCTTTTACATGATTATTATGTGATAGTACTATCTACCTTCTATAATAATTAGGAACTCCCCCCCCCCCCCCCCCCCCGATGAAAAAACTACTTTGATCAGTTATAAGAAACAACACTCTTTGTGCCATTTATACACATCAATCAGCTCTAACTAATGACAGAATGTCAAAAATCAATCATTACCTTTTTCTGGAAAGTCCCATCTAAAGCTGCCACTATTACGACTTTTCCATGATTGGCCAGCTGATCACAAAATGAAACGATGTCAGGAAACTGTAAGGACAATAAAAAAACATTACAATGTGTTTGCCAGTAAGGTAACAAAAGTTTGCCATCTTACATAATCCCAAACCTTTTTCATATTACGCCATAAGGTTAAACAATCCAAATATTAACAAAGTTCTTTGGCCGTGTTATGGGAAAAGGAGCACTGGAAAATATCGTGACGACCAGAAAGATCACTGGTAGAAGAGGCAGATCAAGGATGGCTTAAGTCAGTGGCATGGGGAAATATCATCGGTGGAAGTGATCCAGAACACCAAAGACTGAGATCTGTGAAGAGATGAACACCTACGCCAGCTGACAAGACCCTTGATGATGCAACCAACACTTGCTACACATCTGTACCGGTATGGGTTACAAACAGTGTGGGGTGCTTGTCAGTATTCACATTTTCCAAACATGTTGAGCCTATATCTAACTCCTCTCCTTCAGTGGTTCTCAACCTTCCTCATGCAACGACTCTTTAATATGGTTCCTCATGTCGTGGTGACCCCAACCATAAAATTATTTTTGCTGCTGCTTCATAACTTCGGTGAATATGTGCTTCCTGATGATCCTAGGCTACCCCTGCAAAATGGTCATTCGACCCCCAAAGAGGTCACGGTCCAAGGTTGAAAACCGCTGCTCTAATCAGTCTAGTGCCGAAAATAAGCCCTTTCATGTTTTTTTTTAAAAGTCCAAATATAAGACCTGGTTATGATCACCCCCCCCCCCCCCCCCCCTAGATGGACAGATTAAGTTCCTCCATTGAAACACATGTATTGAATTATAATGTAGTGAATGAATTAATAAATATATACTATACTTGAATAGATGTATAATTCTGAGCATTAAAAAAAAGGACACCACCTGAAAATAAACCTCAAGGCATCTTTTGGAGCTAAAATTAATAAAGAACACAGTGTTTTTTTCAGGGAAACAGTATATTTATACAATCTTTACCAAAAGCCACCAAGTAGCAAGGAAGAATATTAACCTGAGGTTAGACAAACACCAAGTGATGAAAGAAGAGCATCCCACATACCTTGGAGTCACACTTGACAGGCAGCTCAGCCTCAAGAACCATATTGAAAACATCAGGAATAAGGCATTGAGGCGATTACAGTTATTAAAGAGACTTGCAGGTACATCATGGGGATCAGACAAGGAAACTCTGAGGGGCTTATATCTAGGATATGTTCGCTCTGTGATAGAGTACAACAACTCACTGCTTACAACTTGCTCCAAAACTAACCTAGAGACTCTTGACAGAGTACAAAATAATGCCCTCCGATTAATCTGCGGAGCTATGCAGTCTACACCAACTGCTGCATGTGAAATCCATACAAATGTGGAACCCCTCGGGTTGCGGAGAGAAAAAGCCACTTTAGAAATTTATGAAAGATGCGTTAAGAAAAATTGTAACCATCCTAATAGACATCTTGTAGAAAACTGGGAATCCAAACAAAGAATAAAGCACAAATCGGTTTTACTGTGTTAATGAAATTCAGGACAGATACCACCTCCCAGAAAGACGTCAAGGAATTCAGAATGTTGCAAGAAACCTACCACCACATGCTCGCTTTAAAGCTCCAGAAGTCCGAACTAAATTGGTAGGCGAGGAAACCAAACAGTCCGATCCAATCGCTCTTATGAACTCATCACTAAAGACCGTTGATTCTTACTCCCAAGAATGGATACATGTCTATACTGATGGATCTGCATTTAAAGCTACCATTAAAGCAGGTTACGGAATCTACATAGGTTATCCCGATGGATCTGTTGAAGAGATTTTTGATGCATGCGGGGAATTCTGTTCAAACTATGAAGCTGAAATAATTGCACTGGAAACAGCAGTATACCACCTAAAGACTGTAATGGATGTTTACCCTTCAAAGGTCCAAAATATTGTCATCTTCACAGATTCAATGTCAGCCCTTCAAGCTCTGGAGGACAGTGAACGCTGCAGAACTGACATAGCCAAGATAATCCAGGATGCTGATCAGCTTATTACCTCATACAACATCAGAATAGTGATGCAGTGGATTCCAGGTCACTCCGGCACACCAGGTAATGACAGAGCTGACAGATTGGCAAAGAAAGGAGCAACACAAGAACAACCACCTACAGCGACAACCCTCCAAACAGCAAAAACACTGATAAGAGCTATAAACAAAGAGACTTGGTTGAACAGATGGGCCATGGGAGACACTGGAAGAGAGGTTTATAGACATATGTCTGGCCCTGATCCTAATGACAGCATTAACCATCTAACAAGAAGGGACCAGGCCACCATATTCAGACTTAGAACGCAACATACTCCACTCAATGGACACCTAAACAGAATACAGCCACAACACTCCCCAGAGTGCCAGCTATGTAACTACCCCTACGAAACTGTTGAACACCATCTCTTTGAGTGCCCAAAACTCAGTGAGACAAGAAGAACGCTACTCCCTCCGAGACCAGACAAGTGGAACACCTTGTACGGAGGAAAAGAACAGCTTGTGAAAACATGCAAATTCCACTACATGGTATTGGGCCAAAGGGCGAAAGCTCATGCGCCGCTGGATCGATAACAACAACAATCTAACTCCTCTCCTTCAGTGGTTCTCAACCTTCCTCATGCAACGACTCTTTAATATGGTTGCTCATGTCGTGGTGACCCCAACCATAAAATTATTTTTGTTGCTACTTCATAACTTCGGTGAATATGTGTTTCCTGATGATCTTAGGCTACCCCTGCAAAATGGTCATTCGACCCCCAAAGAGGTCACGGTCCAAGGTTGAAAACCGCTGCTCTAATCAGTCTACTGCCGAAAATAAGCCCTTTCATGTTTTTTTTTTTTCAAGTCCATGTTTTTATAAAGACTATGGTTGTTATGATCACCCCCCCCCCCCCCCCCCCAGATGGACAGATTAAGTTCCTCCATTGAAACACATGTATTGAATTATAATGTAATGAATGAATTAATAAATATATACTATACTTGAATAGATATATAATTCTGAGCATTAAAAAAAGGACACCACCTGAAAATAAACCTCAAGGCATCTTTTGGAGCTAAAATTAATAAAGAACACAGTGTTATTTTCAGGGAAACAGTATATTTATATTACTGCCATATCTATTTTTTCTCTCAAGCCAGTATATCTGTGATTTCCACAGAAACAATGTCTGTGTGGTTAAGACAATTTACAAGCTTTGCTTTCTGTCCAGGTGTCATATTTTCCCATTTCACAGTAGTTCTGAAATCCCATGCAATTATCGCGAAAGACAGCGTAGCTATGCGGCCATAAATCTGCTGGTCAGGATCTCCCTCTCCACACTGCACTAACAAGTGGCAAATATGCAGTTAGGACAGTCTATACATTTCTAAGGTAAGACCAACATAACTGTGATAAGTAAGAAAGATCTTGTCTTGCAGCAGGATATGGAAAAAAAAAAAAATGAAACAAAAGATAGGTTAGGAACCTGTAGAAGACAAAAATGAGAAACATACACTCTTGTACCACCTGACAAAAACCTTATTTGGCATGTCCAGAAATCACAATGTAACAACTATCGAGGTATTTAGTGTCATACTCTAGCAGCACCTGGCTTGTATCTTAGCAAGTCATGTATATACATCTATGCTTGTTATTTCTCGCAGGATCATTACATAGCTTTCCTACTTCATTTTACCAAACTATTGTTAACCAGAAGATTATTACTCACAAACTGCCCCTCATCAATGCCTATGACATCATGTTTGAGAGCTTCTGGCATCAAATCAGTTAATGTTTCACAGCTGACAGCAGGCAATACTTGTCTGGGGAAGAACAGAAATGAACATTATTCTCATGACCTTTGAAATAAGTTATGAGTTAAAACCAACATGATAGCACTCAGGACATTCCCATGAGTGGTTCATCCACGTCTTTAGCAGCAAGCAAAAAGTTCCAATTTTGATGGTACCAGTAACAGTAAGATAGTATGTCTGTCGTGCCCCTCCCCTGAGTGTTCAGCATGGGCCAGATCCCCTGGTCACTCCTCGCTGCACCATTCTCTTCAGACAGTGATTATCTGTTTTAGCCTCTGCACTGTTTACTTGCTCCTGATGGGTCCTTAAAACATTTAGCTTATTATGCATCAGTTTACTTACCACCAAGTGATGCAGCAGACCCAGCCAATCTATTTGCCTATTCATTTCCCAACACATTGAGGAAATAAGTAAAGTGTTCAAAGGTATCTTAAATTGAGAAGATCTGACTTTATTGCATCTGGTTTTTAAATCACATCTGGCAAAGTCTCTCTCCAAATAGGTGATAGGGTCATTAAAAAAAAAAAAAAAAAAAAAAAAAAAAAAAAAAAAACTAACTCTGCAGCTCCAGCAACAGACTAATAAAATCACAGAAAATGTAACTCATGAATTAAACAAACAACCTAAAACTTAAACATATAAAAAAAAATTTAAAAAAAAATAAAGGATTACTTGAAAATCAAATGAAATTTTAATGTTCACCAACTAAATCAAACAGTTCTATGAAATTTTAATTCCATTAAATAAAACTAGCCTCAGAATTGTAATCACTACTGTATCCTGAAAATCTGAAGGAACTGAAATACTGATGGTCAGATTTTTAAATGTCAGACTGTATCAACTATCAATTTCTTCAGCCATGGAGTTAAATTCTTGTAATAAAAATATTAGTTATGTAATGAATATGAGTCATGATGTCCTGCGGGACCAAAAGGACACTACCCTGTGGAATGTAAACTCACCTGTCGTGGGTGGCAATGCCAGTGAAGTCGTAGCGGATATCTTTGGCGTATTTGATTACAAGACAGCCGTAATTAGCAATCTGATACCGTTTTAATCTCCTCATAAGTTCGGTTCTGTTAAAAATACATTTACAAAACATTTTGAGCAACTTTGTCAGTCGTCTTTCTACTCTTAGGTGGAGACCTAACTGAGCCCCTTTGCATGAGACTCATCAACAACTTAATCCTTCCTTACCTACCAAGGAGCATTGGAATAATAACTTATTTAGACAGTCAGTGGCTTGTGTTCACCAGCTGTAGACTCCGGCAGAAAGTTATGGTTGTTAATCCTTTTCTGGGCTTTAGTCTTATTCCAGAACCTGAGTTTTGCGTGCATATCCATTGTACAGATCTGGCTTAACAGTATGCAGACTGTTGGTTCCTCACCTCTCCAGCAGATGCACACTGACTTCGGAGGAAACATCTCTTATGTCTACTCTTAGGAGGCAGTGGGTCTACTCTCAGCCCCCTAGGCAGGCCCCAGAACCCACACGGAGGTTCTGGTCAGCTTATTTCAGATCTAAGCCTGTGGCTAAAAGTGGCTCCACAAGTGTAAAACGACTGATGACGTCTGTTCTGTGTTGGTTAATGATCTAAGCCTGTGGCTAAAAGCTGTTTCTTCTTCATCATCTGCCCCTAATTTTATTTTCTGGATGCAGGTTGTTAGGGATCTGCGGTGGTCTAGTGGCTAGAGGCTAGCCTGTGGTTCAAAAGGTCATGGGTTTGATTCTTGGTGTGGGCTGGACTTTTTCTTCAAAAATGACCTTGGCTCCCAGGTCAACCCAGCCTTGAGTGGGTACCAGGTGTGGTCCTGGAAAGTAAAGGCACCCGGCACCAAGTGCTGTTTGTTCTATAAAATATAGGTCTAGCCCTTTATACCCAATACACCTGAATGGCATGGAAAAGGATCCTTTACTTTACTTGGGTAGGTTGTTAAAATAATTTTTTTTTTCTTACTTTGAATTTCAACAATCAGGAGATAGACAAACAATGGATGAGATACAGTAACATGTGCCAGGCAATATTCTGTATTGTGTCATAAAATTATGTTATGTCCCGGTTCACAGCAGGACAGCAATATCTGCACTTCTGGTTTGTCTATCTGACTACATCAGCAAACTGATTTTTTTTAATCCCACTTTTACTGTGGTTGGCAGTCTTATTCTGCAGATCTGAATAAGTCATCTGAACTGAGACTGTGTTACCATGTATTTTATGTATGACTGGCCAAACTGCCTCAAGGAAAGTGCCAACAACTCATACTGTGTTACATGGGGACTGAAAGAATTCAGGAAAGCAAAGAATGGTTCACTTGTCACTATAGTTTATATGCGGACGACACAAATGAGAACAAGAAGACACTAATTACGCTGGATCTACAAGTGCTGAACCACATCATCATCCTGTTACATGCCACATAGGGCTCGCAGTTCTCCATTCCGTTCTATCCTGTGTAATTGCCCGATATCATGGGTGAAGTCCTGTCCAGCACCTTTGGCCTATCTCAGCATTGTTAGCCAGACGGTTTCTCTTTAAGCTGGACGTCCCCAAATCCACAATCAATTAGTTTCCTATTTCAGTGTTTGTTAAGTGATTCCCAGTCTGTTTCTCCTCTTGATATGCCTAATATACTGCATCTTCTTTGACTTACAACTGTTGATACGAGTAATTGTCGAGACATGTCTCTTATTTCTTGAATTCATACAATTTAAGCTAAACCTCATTTTTAGGTGAACCGTCCGGTTTGTAATAAAACTATCATTTTCAACATGTTGAAATAAATTTTAAAATGTGCCCTGCACTTCCAGGTTAAACCCAACCTAAAATGTATTAGGATAATTCTCTGTAAAGTAACGCCAGTTAGAATGATGCTGACTAAATAATCCACCTAACAGTAACTGGTCTAAAAAATTATGATAGCTTCATATACTTAATATGTTTAAAGGTGTGGAAGTGAGATCTTTATCTGACAACTCAAAGAAGAATGCATAGAATAGGCGTATACTTTCTGAATTTGAAACAAATCCACAGCTGTTAAACCCATTATAAACTGTGTTTTAGCTTACTTATCCTCTTTTCACACCTTTATGGACAACCAACAGAAACTACAAAAAGTGTTTAAGCTATTTAGAATATGAGGGTTCTCAAATGACAATAAAGATAAAATAAAGATGACAAATGACACTTACGTTTTTCCTGAAAACATGGGTCCAAATATGATCTGAAGATAAATAACAAAGTTATTGAATAGCTATAATACAAATGAAATATCTAAAGCAGTGGTTTTAAATCGAGGGAGGCGTGGTCAAAAGTTTCAAGAGGGGAACATCAAGCAATTTTGAAACTGTCTGCCTTTGTACATGCAATAATATGTTACACACAAATTATTTTTTTCGCAAGTTTAATTACAAACAAAAATTTTTTTTAAAGTTATTTATAAATAAATAAAAAAAGCCAAGGATGTTTTTGTTTTCATGAGCAGCTTGTAGTCTACCAGTAAAAATCAAATTAATAGTATAACTTCTTTTTCTTAAAGTCCACACCGTGTGGCGCTGGTAGTCATATCTATCAACAACCTTCTCTCGCATGTACTTTCAATCAGCTCTGATGATCCTCCATGCCATGATGTCAAACTGTCTAGCATCTTTTCTCTCGGTCTCTCTCTGCCTCTCCTACTGTCATGATGTATTTTAGTTTTCTTTCTTATCATATGACAATGTGATAATATGTGCACTTAATTAAAGGTTGATGGGGGCATCCCTCATTTATTAAAGGAAGCGCGCCGTCTGGGCAGGGGTTCACTGATCTAAGCAAAGTTACTCTTACTATTCAGAATCTTCTTCTTCTACCCTTTATCCCCCATGGATATTTGGGGTATATGGAACCCATTTAGGAGATCTGTAATAGTGAGAGAAAAAAAAAGAAAAGAAAAACCTTGAATGCAATACTTCCAGAGAGTCTAATACTAATATTTATAAATTCTAAGTTCTTCAGTGTGATTATTAAAAAACATGGAGTCCTTGGCAGACCCTCACAAATAAGAGGGCTTCTCAGGTCTTAGCTAATTTTGAACCACTTTTCCAGACCAGTGTGTCTCAACCTTTTGACACCCGCAGCCCATCAAAACAGGGAAATTGTTTTTGCGATGCACCTGACAGCTGACCAAACTCAGAAACAAAATCAAATGTACAAGGCAGTTTGTTTGTTACATCTGATGTCACAAACAGATATGGTCCTTGAGAAGAATGTTGCTAGTACCTGGAAATCAACTGCCTGGAAATGGCTAAAGAAAGTAGAACTTTATATACAACAATGAGAAGGAGACAAAGTTCTTTGGTCATGTGATGAGAAAAGGAGCACTGGAAGATTTTGCAATGACAGGAAAGATCACTCGTAGAGTCAGACCAAGAGAAATGATGGTGGATGGCTTAAGACACTGGCATGGAGGAATATCATCAGTGGAACTGATCCAGAACATTAAAGACAGATCTGTGGAGATGCATGAACGCCTACCTACACCAGCAGGCAAGGCACTTGATAATGATGATGTCACAAAATTACAATTTTCAGCTGATACGAAATCTTTTGATTCTCAACCCTGAGGTGTTAATCCCACAGACTGCAATTCTGGAAGAGCAAAACTACCTACTCTACCCCTTTAAATGATTAAGCAGAAATGTTTAGTGGCACACCATAACTTTTCTGCGCCCCATCGGTTGAAGAAGACTGTTCTCGACAACTGTTAGTTTAAAATGCTGCCCAAAGCATTCACAAAAGGCATGTCATAAACTACATCAACAGTGCCTGGAAAGCTTTCCTAACTCTGTCATTCATACCATCTAGAATCATTAATTAATTATGCATGCACTTAGCCTAGTTTGGTGTTCTCACCTGGATCTGTCCAAGATCAGGGTTGATGACAAACATGATGTGAAAATGAATCTACTTATATCACTGCAGGATGCGAATTCTGTGAAAAGGATGGTTAGAATTCACCCTGTAGTCTGCAAAAAAGCAAGAATGCATTGTATCTCTATTAAAGCATTATTCTATAAACCTGAATGAACACTAGAATCAATTCTTCGACAATTAATCACTATTACATAGCAAGCAATAATTTAGTGACTACTTTTTTTTTTTTTTTTTACTAAACTACTATAACATTAATATCAATGCAAATACACCAACACACACATATATATATATATATATATATATATATATATATATATATATATATATATATATATATATATATATATATATATATATATATATATATATATATATATATAGTTTTTAAAGTTATTTGTGCATCCTTCATTGGACACTAAAGAATCAACTTTAGCCTTTTTCTTGGCGGTTTGTAATTTTACTAGACACTTTTGGTTCAGTAGTTTACCAATGTTTTCAGAGGCTTTTGATACTAGGGATTAGGTTGTTAGGCCACACGGAAATGGAGACCGCCTAGTTACGCCAGAGGTCTGTGGCCCCTGACATTTTTGTTGGCGATTTTGTACTAGTCACTATAAAACACGAGTCTCTTGTTACTGGGTGTTCAGAAACCAACGTAAACACGCGTGAACGCTTCAGCAGAGGTCAGGCTGCCAAACAGCATTATATTTTAGAAAAAGACATTCGCCCAGTGAAAGATAGTTCTTTATTTGGATTATGGCAAGTAGGGTTCTTTAATAACTCTTATTTTAGGCTTTCTACCATCTCTATTGTGGTATTAATCAATTATGCGTCCATTCATACATACAGTTGTGAAGTTGGAGTTAGAAATGATACCTTTTTCTTTCACGATCAAGTCTTTAATTGAATTAATAAGGTTAAACAAATTTGCGGACGGCATGAATACAAAATCATGTCTGTTGTATACTGATAATGCTAATTATCTGAGCAAATCAGTGTTGAGATAATAAAATTTTAAGTTGAAAAAATAATTATCATCTGTGTAGTTTTATTACTTCTGATAAATTTTTAATAGCTCAAAATAGCGACTAGTTTTATGATACAATAGCTAAATAATTTTTATACTTTTGCTTTAAGGCTGAACACAGATGGTGCATTAATAAAACAGATTAATGCAATTCAATGAATGTTACTGTGCTAATGTTATATATTTTTAAAAATCTGTAACCACTTTAGATTTTATTAATGCACACATTTTAATTTAATATCAGGCACATTTTTTGGGGGAGATATTTGTACCTATTGACCCACACTCAGAATTTGCCTGATGGCAGCCACATGTGTGGACTTCCTAATATTGCTTAAATAATAATCTTACTAATCAAATTTAATATTTAGTAATTTATAAAATAAAGGTAATTTAAACCAAACAGTAATACTGTATATTAGTTGTTTTTTTTAAATAATTTTTTAAAACTTTTATTGTTTAATTTTAAAGCCATTAAAAAAAATAATAAATTATTAATAATAAATATATGTTATACACAAATCTGCAGTAAAAAAATTTTTTTTTTTAAATGTTCGTGTTATTAATAGTATTTATTGTGTGAATTCTTACATGAAATGGTTGAATTCCAGTTAATAAAATTTTTTATTTTATTTACATTTTGCACACACACACAAAACACTAATTTAATTTATGTTTAATATTTATTTATTATTATTATTCATTTAATAATATTATTTTCTTTTTTATTTGTTAATTAGATTTTGATCAAGCAATGGCAAAAAGGGCAGCAGCACATCTTAGATCTTATCTGTCAGTCTTTGAAGCTGGATATCCTATATAGTATACAGCAGAAAGGCTACATTGGTCAGCTCTTGATTGGGGATGGTCGTTCTGTAGTTGATGTGGCACACAATGTCAAAGTCTGTACTGTGCAAACAGCAGAACCAGGCAAGATTTTAAATGAGAACAGTCTTGGCACCTGATTGTATGTATTCAACAAATTTATTTTGAGTAACATAATCTATTTAATAAGAGAATGGCCATTACTCATTGCACTCTTGCTTGAACCATTTCCGATAACATCTAAGAATGTCGCTGTCACAAGTGCATTTTCAGAACCGGGACATCCATCGACAAACAAGCACCCTGAACTAACAGTCGCACCAGAAACAGATAATCTTTTAGAATTAAGCACTCCTCTTACATCCAAACTCACTGATTCTTCTATTGCAGTTTCTTTTTTAGAGTCTTTGACATTACCGTCAACGGAAAAACTTAAAAGAGACTGTTATGAAGCAGCGGACAATTATGAATGTAGAACAGAACAGCAGGGAAAAAAAGTTGACAGAACAGATATAAGGACTCAAGAAGCAAAAACCTCAGTTTTGCCTTGGCCAAATTGAACAAGATTAGATTACAAGACACAATGACAATCAAAAGGAAGACAGTCAGTTAATCTCTGCAATGCTAAATTTACAGATTTAAAGGAGCAATGTGATAAAGCATTGAGACCACTTGCATTTTTGGAGTCCAACGTTTACTTCATTTTCAGTGAAGGCATTATTATATTATGATCATTATCATTTCAGTTTATGATTAGATTAAAACTTTAGTTTAGCACTTTAGCGCGATTTGATGGATTTTTGTTGTGTGCCAGTCAAGTTAAAACTTTTAAACTGCACAATAAATTGAAATTATAATTTTATAATTAAAAGGAGATAATTATTATACATCATATGGTCTGACACGAAAGAAATGAAATGCACAAAATACAATACAACACCAGTAATACTACTAATAATACAATATGATTATAATAAATACATCACTCATATTTACTTTAGCACTTTAGCGCGCCTTTTTCGTTTTGTTTGTGTAGTCGTAGCAGCTAGGTGATTGACTGATTTTCAATTTGAAGGGCCTAGCACTAGCCGCTAGCGGCGGAGTAGTTTAGTACAGTTCAGAAATGTACAAGAAATACTCTCTAATTAGCGACTGCATAATTCTCCCGCATAATATATATGTAGACACTTATTTTGATGGTTTTCTGATAAAACAAAACACACAGTTTACCTGCCACTGACTTGTCGCTTGGCGGTGATGTAAATTTGGCGCTAAGCTGTAGGGGAGGGAACTGTGATAAATTCAGTGTTGTCACTTTTCTTTGACAAAAAACATCCAAAACGGAGTCAAAACATATCTAGAAACATCTAAAGTTGCGTGAAAAACATCTAGAAAAAAAAACATCCTAATGGAAAGAGTCACAAATTACACTGCAATTGATATGACTTACCCTATAGAATCCTGTCCTCATCTTTACTGAAGTCTGCCTTACATGATCCACAGGATAAACTTAGCTTGGATGATGAAGTTGAAGCTTCAGATGCAAAATGACTAGTATTCTTTAGCTGTTTGAATTTCTTTTAATACCTAAATAGGGAGCTGATAAGTGGAACAGCCTTTTCCTGCTCTTATCAGGCCGAATTTTATTTTCAAGATAACATTTAAGAGGTCAAATTTCATCCTGTTTCTTAGGTTAGATTTGATAAATTCACTCCAAATGAAAATATTTTAGAAAAACATCTACAATCTAAACGTCAAAAACGCCATCTAAATGCAAGAGAAAACATCTAAATATGGATGTAAGACATCCAAAGTGGCAACAAACACTGGATAAATTCAACGTTTTTTTCATAGGAGTTGTCTTTCGTGCTTGATATGACGGAACATTTCAAAACATTAGATACAGGGTTGCCATATTGGCATTTTTTATGCCAGATTTCACAAATCTGGCATATTTGAAATTGAACTGGCATAAGATAATTAACTGGCATATTCTGGCATATTTGGGTTTTTCCTCGCATTTTTTATCAAGATGTGCTCACATTTTCTTTATGATTCCTCTGTTACACGCAAATTTACTAATAGCAATGCAGACCCACAGTTAAAGTCTTTATTTCAGTTTGACTTTGTTGTGATGTCCTGGTACGGACTAACGGAGATTCGCGCAATTTCTTATTGTTTTGTTGTCTTCCTAAACGGATCGTGACTGCTATAAACCTCTGTAATTTATGTTAATTTACTAGAATAAATGCGAGATATAAAACGAAAACCCACCACTGATACCAAGTGATTCAGAGTGTTCAGAAACTAATTGAGGACAGAAAATATATAGGATGTAGACCTAGTTCTATATGTGATAGATTTTATTACTTTTACCAATGACCACGTCATCCAAAAAAAGGGAAAGCATCTTATGACAGCAATCGCAAGTATAATAGTAATTGGGAGAAAACATACTAATGGCTCAAAAGATCTTCAGACGGATCAGAGGCAACATATTGTAAACTGTGTCAGTGCACTGTTGCACCAAGAATTGGTAGCATTTCAAATATTGAAAAATCCGAAAAACACAGGATGAAAACTTGGTCAAAAAGCCAGTCACAGCTTATTACAACAATAACTCCTAGGCAAAGTAGTGATACAGTTAAAGCAGTAGAGTTGCAACTTGCTGTAAGCAAGACCTGCCATTGTGCAATACGCACAATTGATCATTTAAGTGAAATCATGAGAGCGCATGGTCAGGGGAGTACATTGAAGCACATACATACTTGCATAGAACTAAATGTTTATGCTTTATAAAAAAAAATATCGCCTGCACTTAAGGATGACCTTATTGATGATTTTCGGAATAAGAAATATGCCATCATTAGAGATGAGTCTACTGACGTTTCTATTCAAAAGTACTTGTGCATAGTTAGTTTTTTCAGTGACAGGAAAAATGAAATATTTACTGGATTTCTGGCTTTAATTTCCTTGCAAGTGGCTATAGGAGAAAACCTATTTAATTTGATTGATAAGGAAATAAAAAGGTGTGGTCAGAGTCCTACAAATTGCATCGGGTTTGCGTCAGATGGCGCTTCAAGCATGGTCGGGTGCAAGAACTCTGTATGGTCCGGAATTAAAGATGTCTCCTTTTTGTGTACAGCTCAGATGTGTCTGC